CCGCCGCGTCAAACGAAGCCGGAAAATGTATTTGGTTTTGCTGTAGCACCTCTGGAAGTACATGGGATCTCGCAAAGCTTTTACTCAAATACGCAATGTCTTGTAATAAGCCAAAGATTGTGGGCCCTCAATTTGGTGTAAGGTACATTAACTTACTATGGTGTACAGACAAATTACACTGTTGTCTAGCATAGCCTAGAAGTACTGTGATCAATAAGTGGTATGGAGGAGAGCGGTGGTTCTGTCATGGGATATGTGAGTAGCTAGTCCCAGGGAATGCGCTATATAAAGTTTTGTTATCACGGATAGTAAAGATACTGTCAGTTTGGCTGGCTTGAGCTCTAGACAACATCGTTAAACTTGCGATAAGAAGCTTTTCGTATTTGAGAAGATCCTGGTTCGGGACCTAAGCGGCGACTGGTGATTTCTCCTCTGCGCTGATTATTGCGGACTTTGAGAGTCAAGGCTTGTCAACGAGAATTCTAAAAGCCGATGATTTCCGGGTGTACGAAGTGTGGCGAACCGATGGCACTGATGAAGTCCCCATCCCCAGGTTTTACAGTTCTTCTGTACAAGTCGTAAGGTGTCAAACATTAACCATATATAGTAAAATCAGGGCCAGCTTTCCACACGGAATAATCAGATGTCTGTCTTCACAGCAAAGCCCTGAAAACAGCGATTTATGCCGCTACAATACCTATACATTATGATAAATTCTGGACATCGCGAATTATGGCTGCCAACTACAGGAAAAATCCGGATGATACAGCTTAAAATTCTTGATTGGTCGGCAGATAGATTGCGACATGCAGTCGCTTAATTTCGTGAATCTCTTGATACTGTGGCTCACGTTGGCCTTGCCTTCCCAATTTACTCAAATATCGTATCATACTTTCTCAAACAATTCCTGCACCAAAGCGGTCTCACTTGACGCTCATGCCAATTGCCCCTGTTTATTAGTCGAGATATGTTAATGCTTCACAATATCTTCCATAGAAAAGCAGTGTGTGTAAGTTGGTTAAACGGTAGTGTGTTGCACAAAGTTGCCCGATGCCCCGTGTTGTATCTCATATGCCTTGCCACGGATGTTCATGGCCGATTACGTAAAATCAGGGACCAACAGGCCTTAGCTATTACTCTACTTTTCAAGAAAGTTTCGCTCCTATTCAAGGACGGGTCTTGATCCGTCAGTGTTTCAAAAAAAGCACTTGATCTGGACAGGCTGGAAGTTTGTCGGTCGCAGTATTATCGTACGTGCCATTACGACTCAATCTGTCTAGCTCGTGTTTGTCCGCACGCATTACGATTGATTATGCGGTACAAAGACTCGCGACACTGTCGCTTGGGTACTTTTCATCTTGAAAGGGATTGCACGTGGGTGTACGTTCTAAGCACGATCTCTTTGTCTGAAATTACTATCGTGAGGGTCACTGTTCTCTCCGAAGCCGGGCCAAGTCCATGGTTATATCAACCTATCGTATTAATGATACTTTTTTTCCCGTCTTCTCTGTCAAAAGACTTGACGCTCTGCAAAAGCGTCCTCTCTCGGAAGGGCTAGTCAGGTGCCCGTGCTGAATCCACCGACGTACCGTTCCTGAGGTATCTCATCGATCTTAATATAATTACGTGCTTATTTTCAGACCTTATTAATTCCTCACGAGTTCCGATATCCCGGTAAGATCAGCGTAATTTAACTTTTATACGCATAGGTTACCTCACGAGATTGTGCGAGGTCGAAGGACAATGGAAATGCATACATTTTGAGGCTGTAGACTAGCAAACAAGTGTCAAAGAGATAAATCACCTCAGGCGCATTCTGCTTCTGCTAGTATATTAAGATCATGATGAAGTCGATAATAGTGCTCTAATTTGTCATTAACAGCTCTAATGATGTTCTGCTTTCTTTCCTTCGCTCATTAAATTTTATTGAAATGTTGCACAGCTATATCACAGGTTTGAAGCACTTTTCCAGCGGTTCTTATCATTACTGCGAGGCCTGCTGTATGTTAGTAATTCAAGAAAACATGGTGTGAACATCTTACAGATCGTGGATTATCGTAGGTTAATAGTAACCCTGCTTGAATGGAATCAATCATGAAAAGCCAGTAGTTAGAACTCAAGTTCTTCTATTGACCCAGGAAGAAACTTCAATCCTTAATCTCAGATGAGTGTATTTCGCGTCCCAGCTACCAGACGATACGTAAATTTTCGAATTTGAGATTCTAAGCTACTACTCGTCCATAGCGATGTAGCAGCGCTTCAAAATTTACATCTGACAGTGGACTTACCGTGATTTCAGCCTATGTAGTATCGATTGTTTGTTGGGAATCAACGCCTCGAACATACAGTAGATAAGTATGATTATCCGGGATGTTAAGTGTGCGCGTTATTTTTGATCCGGAATCACCAAATTAGTATATCGGTGCTGTTGTGTGTGATTGCTTTTGAATAGTCTTCCTGATGCTCAGAAGACTAACCAGAACGAAGTAAAGAATTGATAGACCGAGAAAATAAGTATGCGCTGCGAACTATCACATGCTGTTAAGGCCTAAGAGAGAGTTTAGGCACATTTTAAGGTAGTGGTGGTCTGTTGATGTGTAGAGTGCAGAGTGCAAGGTTTACTGCTCAATCCCCATTCACGTAAATCGCATCATAATCGGATCAGTAAGTAAAAATTAGGTATCTGTCTTCGACATGGCCCTAAATACTTTTAACATACCCTCCACTGAGTAACCTACCGTGAACATGAACTGTAGAGAGCGTTTTTCAGCCAAGGCAAGTCTGAAGTGGCCTTCGTAAAACTCAAGCAGAATGCCAAGGAGCCAGAGATGACAAACTACCCTCTGAGATAGACTTCAAATTTAGAAAGAAAGACAAGTAGAGTTTTTTCTCTGGCGACCAGCTAAGCCTCTTGGGTTGATTGAACGGCATGATTTTCAGCCTTGCCAGCTCAGTAAACCCTTAAGGCAAGCAATATGATATTAAGGAAAACTTCATGGAAGCTTAAGAAAAAGAAAGGTGACAACACTGAATCGGTTATTAATTCGAAGAGTAGCAGTCTCGATGTGATTCATGATGGATTACAGTTGTAAAGTCCAGATTTGGAATTAGTCGTTAGAGGAGAAATCATATCTCAAAATCAATGCTCAAACTTATTGATCAAGCACTTCGAGTACCAGATTTTGGGTTTTCACACAACCACATGCTCTCCATACGAAAACAGATTACCTTCCGCCGTCACAGATGAGACAGCCACAATTAGCGACCAACTCCGTAAAGTCGGGTCAGCCGACCTGACTATACGTGGATCGAGCCGAAGGCATACCATAAGTCAGATTTTCATTTTGCTTTACGACAGCACCATCACAGTTCAGCAGTCAATTCATTCTAGCAGCATAGCGCGAGACGAGCATGTTGACTATCGGTCAGATCGTTGTTATTACAACCGCTTTCATGCAGACAGTATCCGCCAGAGACGAATACAAGAACCTTATCCCAAACGGACCCGCTATGGGGATGCCGTTGGGCCACGAGGGTAAAGGTTACACTTTATTTGGTTCGTTTTTTTCAAAATCGGGCAAAGAGTGGTCCAAAGTCTGCAATCAGCCATGGCCCGGCGGCTCAGTTACTTGTGGCGCGGCGCTCGGTGACCCGTGCTGCACTTGGAAGTCCGGTGATCCAGATTTTAAGCTGAGCGAGCCTAATCTAGAGGCTGCTCCTTGTGCTAGTGGTTCTCAAGCAGGCGGAAGTGGCTCAGGTAGTGCGCCATATTCTGAAACCCCCGGAGCAGAGACCCCTGGAGCAGAGACCCCTGGAGCTGAGACCCCAATACCAATGGAAGAATCCCCTGTACAAATGGACCCTACAACAGTGGTCGATACACCCATTGTGACCGACTCTTCCGAGTACTGCGAGTAAGCTGGTGGAATATCAGTGGTCTCCATACCTTTTCCTAACGACGGAGACAGTGCAGTCAAACCATAAATTGATGTAGAAGAAGTGACAGGAAATGACAAGGAATCTGTCTGCTTCATGTAACAATAAGTACAATTGCGTTCTGACTCATTACACTACAAAAAGTAACAATTTAAAAAACTGCATTGTTCGAAATGCATATTTTGCGCATGTATAAATAGTAAAACTACATCACCACCTATGCAGAACGTGCCTGATGGCCTTGTGCGTGCCTATAAGTCAGTTAATGAAAGTAATTTACCGATTAGTCAGCCCTAATCCATAGGGTCGGTTCGCTCTCTTTTGAACAACGTAGAAGTGCATCGCTCTGCACCTTTTACTATATCGTGCTACATACGTCTGAATGTACACAGATGCTGAACATGGAGAATTTTACACTTTAAGCTTGCCTTTTCGTTATGACTTTTGGATGTATCTAGCAACTTGTCTCCTATATTCTACACCAAAGGCTTGATTGATACCATTTTGGCCACATGTCTTCTTGCGCTCACCCTGCGATTATAGAGGAGAAAAACTCAAGTTTTCAGTGGTGCATATTTACTCATTACATGTTCAAAATGAGCTTAGAAAAAACGTTTGTTGCGATTTTACTTCCAATTTAAAAAAAGTTCCCGTTTCCCGTTGTCGTATGGGGTTGTGGAACGTCACATCTGTAGTGCAGCAAACTTTGGCGCAAAATACATCGCGACCTTGAATGCCTCTTAATGCAATATGTTACTTGCCAGACGCCATCTTTGCTTGATTAATCGAGATTTTCTTCTTAAAAGCTGTCTTTACGAAGAAAACAGCGATGCAGATCTGGTATGTTGTAGCTGTTGCTGCGCAGGCTGCATGCGTCTCTAGTTTGGATACCAGTGATAAATCAGACCAGAAGGCAACATTTTCAAAGTTAGCAAGCATGAATGCCGACAATGCTGGCATAGTGATACCATACAGTGATGGTAGCTCTACTACCTTCTCCAATAGCTTGACCGATGATGGTGACAACGTGGTGCAAGAATACTTGGCTTCAAACGTCGATGCAAAGCAAAATGTCGTTCCTTCATACCAGAACACTGAACAAGATGAGATCTTAGATGACGCCAAAAATGTGGCCGATCATAAGACTAAGGCGCAGAGAGAGGAGGCGAAGGAGGCTCGACACGAGGCACAACAGAAGCGCAGAGCGGAGCGCGATGCCCAGGAAAAAGAGTGGTGGAAGATGAAAGCGCTGCAAAGGTCAGAACTATAGTCTGAGAATGATGAAGCACGGAAGTAATGCTGATTTTTCAGAACCAACGATTGCACATATATTTTGTAGCGTTTGTAGAGCAGTGACTGTATGTGAATCTTGCCAAATGGGTTTCTTTATCGTCTTGAATTCTATAGCTCGCACACGGCTGTAATCTGCTGAAGGCAATGTGAGCCTTCAGCAGATTATCACAAGCCGTATCATCAAACTTACGAATTTATTCATAAAACGTCTGCTCCTGTTTTTTGACCCCCTTTTCGCAACGCTGTCTACCAACACGAAGCAGTCGCAATCCCCACTATTAGTTAAGATGAAGAGACATTGACTAGCAAATGTTGATGTCAATCTATTTGTTCATAACTCCGATGTTATTTTCGGACCAGTCCACGATTTTTTGCCGTTTCGAGCAACACCTATTCAAGCACCATCGGCACCCGATCTTAGCACCATCCAAACGACTAACAACATTCCTGCCCTCGCGTTTGCAGCTTGTTTTTGAGCACTTACTTTAGTCGTCTGGTGTAAGGCAGTTTATATTATCGGCGAGCAATCGAAAGAGTCTGCACTTATCACGACGCTCACATCGAGCTCAGGACCCACTTTCCACAGGGTAATCTGGAAATGCTCAACTGAGCATTTGGAATGTAGATCGGTCAACAAAATCTAAATCAAGCTTGTTAAGACCTCCTTACTTTGTCCTAGAGGCACTTTGTTAAAAGTGCTTCAAAGGCAGTTTCTGTTTCTACAAGTACAATGTCACACGAAGGGCGCAGAGGAACGACACAAAGCGAGCTTTCACTGGCTATTTCGCCCTGTCCTTGTGGCCACAAGTGTTGCTTCGAGTGTCGTGTCAATGAGAAAAGGTGCTAGGTTCAAGAGATTGCGTGGAATCAATTTGCTTGAAAATGCGCGTTGTGAATGATGCCCTCTCTGCTCACGAACTTGTAACCGAAGCACTACAAGGAAGTCGCTGATGAATTCTTCACCGAATCACTGCCCAGGACAGCGCAACTAATGTATCACATTGTAAATTTTAGTAGGAGCGAGGTTGGCGACATTTAAACGAAAGTGTAGATTATCATTCGCAGTATCTTGGGCTGAGAGATCCTTCTTATAAAAAAATCTCAATGAGGCAACGGGCAAAGGCAAGGAATCCAACCTGTGAGGCGGCTTTATGCTACGTACAGTCACTTCAACGAGTTGTACTTGAGTTCATACTAATTGCAATGTGCAAATCACATTGTACAACTCTTGTGCAAAGTGCGTATACTTTCGTGTAGTCGTCTACAACTCAAACGTTACTTCGTCGAATGCAGTACATATAATTTTACTGTCGAGCTTGTGAGATTAATGTATTTAGTATTAATTCAACAGACACAATTATTCATATATGGCAGTTTTAAAGTAAAATAGCAAGTTAATTTAAAAGCTCTCGGTTCCGCTCCTGAGTGGATCATCCCTTTTGTGTTAATTAGCGCGAAGTCCTGAATCAAAGCCTCCCCTGTGCAACGCACACTTATGGATAGCACTTGTAGTCAACCCGACGATCGAGACTTGAAAGACTAGATCCTCCATGAGGATGAGACACAAGATGTTCAACTGTTTGTCCTCCGAACAACTAGAAACGCTTAATATAAAGTTATGTCATATGTATAAGCTCCTTTGACATCCGGGGGTTGTGAGATTTGATGAAAAGCCTGAAGGTGTTTATCACTTTGGCGAGACATCTTCAGGAAGGCCTAAGCTAATAGTCAGTGGGTACACAACCGGCTAGACCGCTAATGCTGTGCGTCCAGACCTTTGAGTGCTGGGACTCTCTCTCTCGACGAGAGAAGCTTTGATGGTCGTAAGTCCGTTCATGTTCCAGACGCTTCAACTGCGCTTTGTGCTTGCTAACTCCAAGCTAGAGGGTCGCGCGTAAGGATGAACATGAACGTGCAGTTTCTTTGTTGGAGAGGCCGGTTTACGGGGGAATCTGCGGAGAGACATACATCGCGAATATCCGATCAATCAATCATGTGGATGGGTGACTTGTTCACCCGTCAAAGGAGGCGGAAGCCGGCAGACTATGTCTAGTAATTGCGAGGTCTTACCGTTGCATGACGGCGGAACTTCTTAAATGAGGGATCCAATTGACCTCTGCCTTTGAATGTTCTCGAACATGTGCGGTTTAAGCCAAGACCATCCGCTTCTCTCTACCTTGCTTAAAGATGTGGTGGGAGGTGCATTGAGTGCTGATACATTTTCTGTTCCGTGAAGGTCTGCTTGTGGATGTCTAGGATGATAAGACACAGCTTATATAGAACAGACTCTGTCTACAAGAAGTAAGTTCATCACCCATGGCTGTCAACATCAACAACCTGAGCTTTTGTATTGTCGTAAAGTAGATTGAGAAGCGTTGTGCAAACACGTACGCGCGCGACATTCTTACAAATGGTAGTATGCAGGGACACAGAAGATACCAAAATGAATACGATATCTGTGCATCTTGCTACCAGATGATTTCGAGGCCTAAATTCAATCTTATCATTATGATGTTCTTTGACAGCAGTATAAGTCCTGGTCCATGAGTCAGGATAAAATCTCATTCTAGATATAACGTGGTCGAAGCGCCACAAGTCATCAGTCGACCGTTAAGCTCATAAAGCCGAAATATTTGCTGAGAATTTGTGCAAGGAATTGCAAGATGGTGAGGTCACCAGAATAGAACGGTTGGTCTCGGAGGAGGATCTGATCTCATCATCCGTCATGGATGAATTTGTTATCGAGGACACTCGCAGATCGCTGAATAAGAGGGGAAAAATAGCGACTCTCAAAAATCCTATTGATCTTTTGCATTTTTATTGTTATAGAAGAATCACGACGTAGGGGCGAGAGATCCACTAAGCGTACTATTTACGGACATGGGAATGCGTCGTGATAATGACTTGCTCCATGGAATCAAATATTGCGTCACACGGGAATGTCCCTTACCAAAGGGACAGTATGATCTCAGTATTGCTTTATTTTATGCGAAGTATGAAGCGCGTCTGGCAAGAGAAAGTACTCATTCGGCGTCAGCTCAGAGAGTGTACGGGGTTATGAAAGGGCGGGTCGCACAAGATGGTGTGACCGTAGATAGATGTGAAATACACAAGTTGGTGTAACCACACAATGGCATGGCTACGCCGTAACAAGAAGCCACTACGTGGCAGGATTGCCAGTAGTAATGCATATTGATTAGGATTTACTATTATAATTACGTATTACTATATTAATTAGGAAAACCCAAGGTTTGAGATATTGGCAGTTCGGCAGCAACTAAAACAATTAAATACAGATTAATCATTAATGAAGGAGTCTTTACCTTGGCTAAGGTTTTTAAGTACTGCAGAGGTAGCTGCTGGTTCTTGTAAAGAACGAAAGGTCGGTGACCTTAGCTTAGCTTCCTCTAAGCAAAGAGGTACGGCAGCCCCGCTGCACCTGGTAGCAATCGTAGTCAATCTACACCTGAGTCGTTACGACTGATTTTCTGTGAGGATGGATCAGTACTCCTATTTGCCCCAGGGCATGCGGGCTTAAAAAGCGATGTCCCAGCCCTGAGGGCGTGGAACACCTTGTTTCGCAAGGGCCCGAAGCGGTAAACGCGGGCCAAGATACTTTTTCTAGTTATGAAAATTCCCTGCTAGAGCACCTACAGCAGAAGCTGACGGCGTCAACTGCGTCCATAACACCACCGTAGACGACGGATGACTCCTCTCAACCCAGGCCGCACATGGCGAGCGTTAAGACCTTCGGGGTTAAGGATAGAAAGAATCTCCTGCTCTGGGGAGAGAGGCCGAAATGGCTATGGTAATCCGCCATGCTCCAGAACGAGCAACAGCGCGTGGTGTCAGCTATCTTCAAGCTCGGTGGCCGAGCGCGTGAATGGGTACTAACGTGCGGTGCTTCGGTCGAAGCTGCGTCCCCCTTCTGGAAGGAGCAAGTAACAATACTTGGTTATCTCTGAATGTTCGCAATTGAAGCATCAGCTTTTGCGAGTGTTCTCGCCGCCTAACCAGGCAAATTGCGTGCGATCGCGTTTCCTTGCCGCCCGACAGGGCGAGAGAGAGTTGTTGGACTTTGTCCACGATTTGCGTACTCTCATTGCCGAGATGGCAGCCGATCCTCTCCCCGGGGCGGTTGCGGTGAAAGGCCTCCACACTGGCGTGGCCAGAATGGAAGTCTTCAAGAAAACGTGTGCATCCGTCTTCTTTTGAAGAAGCGGTGAATGTAGCATTGAAAGCTGAGCTCAACTTCAAGTAGGCACGACATGGTTAGAATGCACACCCTCTCAGCTTGTCGAATGGGCCTGAGCCAATGGATATCAGCTATGCTAAGAAAGAAGGAAGAAAGCTCGAAACTGTCAAGCAGCGTGTAAACACCCGACGGTGTTTTGTCTGTAGAGACACCCGTCACCGTCAAACTGGTTGTCCCCTGCGCAGGGCACGTAAAGGTTCATAAATCCGACGTGCCGCTTCTAACCAGTCTAGTTTGTCGCGGAAACGAGACGAACCAGTAGGCGCGGGGCGCCCTCCTGGGGAAGAACTGAGTTTTGGTTTGCCTTAAAGATAGAGGGCAGCAGGGCTCAGCCTCGAAGAGCTCCGTGCTCTTGAACACGAAACGTATATGCAAGCCGGGCTTGCTGGTCGTAAAAGCGACCGTGAAGGGCTTTGAGAAGCCATAAAAGATCCTTATCGATTTTGGGGCAACGACAGTTATGTTCAACGTTTCACGGTAGTAGGAAGTCAGCTGTATGCTGAGGCGCTAAAAGCGCGGTTGAATAAAACTGTCACTGTTCGCTTCGCGACGGGGACTCGTGCTAGTGTGCCGAGGGTCTCTGTGGACCTCGGTGTCAAGTTTCTTGACTTTAATAGCGTGGAACGCTGCTTAGTCTTTAAATTTGGATTCAAGGTATGACCTTATCCATGGTTTGAACACCATGTGCCATGGATTGATTGCAGGTCGAAGATCTTAGGCACTACGCGCACGTCTCCTGGTGGAGCTTTGGTAAGTCATGAACCCACCTCTGCTAGAAGGCAGAAACGCCATTGGCGCTGACGCTGCACTTGAATGGTCAATGTGCTGATTATCAATGTATCCAGGCGAAGGTGTATTGGACAAAACAGTTTCGAGCATGGCTCGCGGGTTTAACGTGGAATGGCACGTAACCCACGGAGCACCTCTCAAGTAACAAATCTGTTGCTGCAAGCCAGCAGTGGCATGGTCGGCCAAGGGCTGGGGCATCGTGGGCGGAGCTACTGTGATGCGCGTGGAGTGACATGTCATCTACTAAGCACTCCTCACGTTACGAAGTAGTTGCTGCATGCCAAGAGTGACATGGTCGGACGAGGTCCGAGGCATCCTAGGCAAGGCCCTTCTGATGCGCATGGGGTAGCACGTTATCCACTGAACGAAGACTGCGGAAATAGCAGCTCTTCGTCGGGTATTCTTAATAACATCAACGTTCTGATGAAGCAGAGGGTGGGTACGCTGGACGATGCTGAGTTCGTGTTCCTACTGGTCGCTACGAGACGGAAAACCTCTACCGAGAGGAAATGGCGATGCCGTATGTTATCTGCAAGACGCAGGGCTTCGACCCTGAACCGAACGAGGAGACTAACTCGTCGTCGCTTCTAGCACATTAAAAGGGTGCTGAACGCACGAAGTAGGTCGTCGATCCTACGGAAAACCTTGGATCCGTACTATCCTTTGGTAATGGAATTTCAAGACGTCGTCTCCAACACCCGCCTTCGGTCCTAACCCTGGACCGAGGTGTGCGTCATGAGATCGACCTGGTTTTGGGAACCAAATGCTAGGTAACACCCCAATGGCCCCTGCCCAAGAAGCAGTGCGACGTCATTGACGCATTTTTCCGTGCGAAACTCGACGCAGGGATGGTACGTAAGAGCAAGTCTCCCCATTCGTCACCCACGTTTTGTGTTCGGAAGTCGTACAGCAAGTGGTGTATTGTTCATGCTTACAACAAGGTCAACGCTGCCACTATTCCGGCACAGACGCCGATTTCTAAAGAGGATGTTTTTCAAAAAACCATGGTGGGATGTATGAAATACAGTGCACTTGACTTGGTCGATGGGTATAACCAATTGCTCGTGAGAGCGAGTGACATTCCGCTAACAGCGGTGAGCACTCCAAGCAGCATGCTGTGGGAGTGGCTGGTGATGCCTAAAGGGCTGTCAAATGCACCAGCAACATTTAATCGTCATGTGACGCAGTTGTTCAGGCCCCACAGGATGTATGCACAGACATACTATGACGACATTTTCGTTCATAGTCGTGCGGAGCACGGGAGGACAGATGATGAGAATCACATCGTCCATATAAGAGAGGTTCCCGAGTGCATGCGCACGAACAGACTGTACGCTAAAGCAGACAAGTGCATCTTTGGCGCAGAAGAGATTCCCTTTTTAGGGTGCTTTCATTGGGAAGCGTGGCCTTCAAGCGGACCCCCCGCTAAGGTCAAGGCCATTGTAGACTGGCCGGTTCCAAAGAATCAGATGG